ACCTCACATCTCGTGTGTTTCACTGTGACAACAGTATCAAAATAGTGAAAAAGATTGTGATTTGGCTTCAAATAACCTAAATGTAGTACTGTAGTAGTCACTAGTAGTGAATCATTATGTGTTTCTTATTTATTACCGTCACATGTAGTTGTGCTATTGTCAAGTGCACAATGAAAAACTGACATAGTTGCTTAGCAACAAACTAGTAGAAGCAACAATACATAACATCCAAATAGTGTATTCATATGATAATACAAAATTGCAAGTACGATTTAAAAAAAATAGATATCACCGGAAATTCCAGATTTAGAGTTTAACAGGGGCTAGCATTCTCCTGGGCACTAGCTCTAGTCACAGTCATGCCAAGTTAACTAATAGTCATATCAAGCCAAGTTAACTAGTAGTCATAGTCATGGCAAGTTAACTAATAGTCATAGTCATGCCATGTTAACTAATAGTCATAGTCATGGCAAGTTAACTAATAGTCATATCATGCCAAGTTAACTAATAGTCATAGTCATGGCAAGTTAACTAATAGTCATATCATGCCAAGTTAACTAATAGTCATATCATGCCAAGTTAACTAGTAGTCATAGTCATGCCAAGTTAACTAATAGTCATAGTCATGGCAAGTTAACTAATAGTCATATCATGCCAAGTTAACTAATAGTCATATCATGCCAAGTTAACTAGTAGTCATAGTCATGCCAAGTTAACTAATAGTCATATCATGCCAAGTTAACTAGTAGTCATAGTCATGCCAAGTTAACTAATAGTCATAGTCATGCCAAGTTAACTAATAGTCATATCATGCCAAGTTAAATAATAGTCATAGTCATGCCATGTTAACTAATAGTCATAGTCATGGCAAGTTAACTAATAGTCATATCATGTCTAAGCAACATTGTATTTCAAAATGTGACGTTCCCAAAACATAGTGCTATCTCAAATGGTTTTTCAACCCCCATGCAACAGTTTATCAATGTTAATTAATCTGATGTATAATGTTTGAGCAATCATAGTGCAACTGAAAATTCTCAGAGGATGTTTACAGACAAAATACTGCACCCAATTTATGTTTCCGAGCCAGGAAGATAAATACATCAGTCTACCTTTGGTCCGTCTGAGTCATTGAGAACATTGTACACAATCCTAAACCCTTACCGTCTAGCTAACCACAGTATTTACAAATTAACTTGACCCGGTGGCTCAGTGGAAATGACAATAAACCCTTAGAACTTCTTTCTTGAATACAAAGGGATAGAGTACATACAGTGCATTCGGAAAGTATTCAGACCCCTTCCCTTTTTCCACATTTTGTTATGTTACAGCCTAAAATTGAATAAATTAATTGTTTTCCTCATCAATCTACACACAATACCATAATGAAAAAGCGAAAACAGGTTTTTCGAATGTTTTGCAACTTTATATAACAAAAAAAACCAAAAAAACGTATTTACATAAGTATTCAGACCCTTTGCTATGAGACTCGAAATTGAGCTCAGGTGCATCCTGTTTCCATTGATCATCCTTGAGCTGTTTCTACAACTTGATTGGAGTCCACCTGTGGCAAATGCAAATGATTGGACATGATTTGGAAAGGCACACACCTGTCTATATAAGGTCCCACAGTTGACAGTGCATGTAAGAGCAAAAACCAAGCCATGAGGTCAAAGGAATTGTCCGCAGAGCTCCGAGACAGGTTAGTGTCGAGGCACAGATCTGCGGAAGGGTACCAAAAAACGTCCGCAGCATTGAAGGTCCCCAAGAACACAGTGGCCTCCATCATTCTTAAATGGAAGAAGTTTGGAACCACCAAGACTCTTCCTAGAGCTGGCCGCCCAGCCAAACTGAGCAATCGGGGGAGAAGGGCCTTGGTCAGGCAGGTGACCAAGAACTTGATGGTCACTCTGAGTGAGCTCCAGAGTTCCTCTGTGGAGATGGGAGAACCTTCCAGAAGGACAACCATCTTTGCAGCACTCCACCAATCAGGCCTTTATGGTGGAGTAGCCAGACGGAAGCCACTTCTCAGTAAAAGGCACATGACAGCCCGCTTGGAGTTTGCCAATAGGCACAAAAGGACTCTCAGACCAAGAAACAAGATCCTCTGGTCTGATGAAACCAAGATTGAACTCTATGGCCTGAATGCCAAGCGTCACGTCTGGAGGAAACCTGGCACCATCCCTACAGTGAAGCATGGTGGTGGCAGCATCATGCTGTTGGGATGTTTTTCAGCGGCAGGGACTGGGAGACTAGTCAGGATCGAGGGAAAGATGAACGGAGCAAAGTACAGAGAGATCCTTGATGAAAACCTGCTCCAGAGCGCTCAGGACCTCAGACTGGAGTGAAGGTTCACCTTCCAACAGGACAACAACCCTAAGCACACAGCCAAGACAAAACAGGAGTGGCCTCAGGACAAGTCTCTGAATGTCCTTGAGTGGCCCAGCCAGAGCCCGGACTTGAACCTGATCTAACATCTCTGGAGAAACCTGAAAATAGCTGTGCAGTGACGCTCCCCATCCAACCTGACAGAGCTTGAGAGGATATGCAGATAAGAATGAGAGAAACTCCCCAAATACAGGTGTGCCAAGCTTGTAGCGTCATACCCAAGAAGACTCAAGGCTGTAATCGCTACAAAAGGTGCTTCAACAAAGTACTTGCTGAAGAGTCTGAATACTTATGTAAATGTGATTCGTTTCAGGAAACTAGGCGTATGTTGCGGGTCACTACTTCACAGGAGAGCCATTTGAATGCAAACTTTTTTGGAAAAATCTAATTTCGTTTTTTGGCAGAAATGCCTTCTGGAACATGTACACTTTAATGTGCCTTAATAACAAACTTGTATGCCATCTGCAAATACAAATACAATTTTAAATTACGAGCCTAGTTTGTTAAAGCACAGAAAAAGACCCGCAACCTGTCCCACTAGCCATGATTGGCTTGAGATAATGAGTTGGGCTGGACATGCCGAGAGAGGAGTTTTGGATATGGGTCTGCCAGATAGCACGCTTCTCGTCGATTTGAGCTTGGTCCAGTATGTGTATGTAAGTCCTGTCTAACGTTGGCTTTAAAAATGGTTTATTGTGTAGTGAAGTTGCGTAAGTGTTGCTCTCCACTTTCTGGAGGATCGAGTTTTGAAATCAGTGGAATTAGAGTATGATAGCTAAAGAGATGGAGGAAACACCTGTCTCCGATTACATCTGACATTTTACATTTAGTCATTTAGCAGACGCTCTTATCCCGAAGCGAACTCTACAGGAGCAAAGTAGGGTTTAAGTTGCCTTGGCTTCAAGGGCACATCGACAGATTTTTCACCTAGTTCGGCTTGGGGATTAGCAACCATCGACCTTTCGGTTACCTGGCACAACGCTCTTACACACTAAGCCACCTGGCCGCCCATCTGCAAACTAAAGGTCAATTCATGGCATCCGTGACAGGTAGATGCGTCCCATCAATGCATGATATTATACGGGTAAGATAGTCTAGCTAGCTACATTTTCAGATATTACACATTTCTAATTTTGACAGAAAGTGGTTTCATTTCAAGTTAAAAGTGTACTGTTAGCTAGCTAGCTAACGTTAGCTGGCTCGCTAGCAAACTTTACATGTATGATCTTATTATTCGTATCTCAGAGCCATTTGCTTTGCTAGTTAGAGCCTAATGCTAGTTAGAGCCTAATGATTTGATTTGATTTGATTTGTTAGCTAGCTAACGTTGAACCTGGTTGGTTAGCTACCTGCAGATTCATGCATTGTAGTAATGTCATGAGTTGGGATTATGGTTCATTGTTTACCTAGCTAGCTAGCTACATGTCTTAACAAAAGCCTCCACTATGCAAGTAACCATTTCGGGTGCGTTCATAAATTCAGTCTGGGTATGCCAGAGCGCTGAATAACTGATGAATTTGTGAATGCACAACACCCGTTGAATAAGGCCGGTGTCAGTAAACGTCGGTAAAAAAGCATCATTAAATTGTTGCCAGCAGCACAGTTACAGTCACCAACGCTCTGGATAACATTAAATGAGAGAACACCCCACTGACCATTTTACTCGCCCTAGCAGAGCTGGTTAGGCTGTTTTCATGTTATCCAGAGGTAAACAATGAACCATAATCCCAATTTTGTGTCTGGAAGTAGCTAGCAAGCTAGCCAATGTTAGCCAGTTAGCTTGGGTGCTTCACTGCTGTTGTGAGGTCAGAACACTCGGATCAACCCTACTCATCGGCCAGAGCATCAAGTGTGCTCTCTGAACGCTCCGAGAGCAAAACGAGATGGGTGGGGCTAACGCTTAAGAGTGTGTGAACGATGTTGAACAGGTGTAGACAAAGAAGAGCTCTTCAGTAGGTACCAAAACATTCAAAGGCCATTTTCTCAAAAGTGAGATTACAAGTTTATGAACTTTCAAAGCAGAATTACTTTCCCATTGTTCCCTTAAATGCAGTGTATGATATACCATTTTGTAGCTCTGTGTCTCTGCTTTTATTCCAATGTAAAAAAACACCACTTCAAATTTTGCTACATAAGACCGAATCAAGGCGGTCGGTCACAAATGTGATATTTCCATATTTATTTTTTGTAATACATTTGCAAAAATGTCTAAAAACCTGCTTTTGCTTTGTCATTATGGGGTATTGTGTGTAGATTGATGAGGAAAAAAACAACATTTAATGCATTTTAGAATAAGGCTGAAACGTAACTAAATGTGAAAAAAGTTGAGGGGTCTGAATACTTTCCGAATGCAATGTACATGAATAGGTCCATTTAAGAGGCTGGGTCAAGAAGGCAATGTTCACCTCACAATTTATAAGCCATATCTCAGTCTTTTCTCTTGAAAACAGAAAAAATAACATGTTTTCTCTCTGCGTGGCCACTATCCCTGTTAATGGAGTTACAGTGGAGTCTTGTTTCATATTCATTAGGGCATACTCTTGCAAAATGTAGCAAAAGTTTTGCCCTGAAAAACAAAAACGTGTGTTTCTTATTGGACAAGTTCAGGTAGTCGCTCCCTGTTTCAGTCAGTTTTGTGCCGTTTGGTGCCTAATGAATACGAACATGTTGTGCTCTAACTGCAGCATGTGGATGTGTTAGGGTAGTAGGGTCCTTCCCCATTCGTGGCACAGGCCAGGCGTTAGGAGTAGATGGACCAGTAGATGATGTTGAACAGGACGTAGGAACCAGGGAAGACCATCCGTGAGTACTTGTCTATGGCGTGGGTGTCTATCCAAATGTTCACATAGCCTGGCCTCTTTACCTGGCCCGTGAGCTGGGGATCCCCCAAAACCACCTGGGCCAACATCCTCTCCTGCCTGCCGCCGTTCTCCGGCATCCCATAGTTCCCTGCGGTGCCATAGTTCCCTATACTGTTGGCGTCCATGGTGGTGTAGCCAATGATCTGGGGTTCGCACATGGCGTCGTCAGGGTTTCCGATGCCACAGGTACACGGTAACTGCAGGTAGCGGGGAGTACAAAGAGAAAAAGGGTGAATTAAAGGACAAGACTTTGAAACCGCAAAACTTTTAAGTGGCTTTAAATCCACTGATGTCTAATATATTTAGTAATTTTCGAGCTTAGGGCTTCTCAACAAGGTTGTTCGTGGCAGGAAAGGTTTTCAGGGGCTGTGTGAGTTGAAATACTTCCTCCTGAGGCTTCTTATGCAGTTTCAGTTCCATATGCCACAACATTTGGCATATAGAGAGATATGCAGTATGCAAAGTTGTTCACCAGATGTAGTCCTAAAAATAACTGTATACAGAAAAGCAGAAAAACATTTTATGTAAATGAAATGAAACAAACCGTACCCTCTCTCTTAGTTTCCTCTCTTTCCGTTCCTGTACGGTCGAGAGGTAGTTGACCGCGGCATACTCTATGACCGAGAGGAAGACAAATACGAAACTGACCCACAGGTAGATGTCCACTGCTTTGATGTAGGACACTCTGGGCATGGAGGCGTTGACTCCAGTGATGATGGTGGACATGGTGAGCACTGTGGTGATACCTGGACACAGTCAAAACAGACGGTTTAGCAACCTATGTGAAGACATTAGGGACAGTTACCCAGACACAGATCTCATTGAAATAGCTTTTGAGTCCAGGTCTTGGCTTGATCTGTATTTGAGAAGATGGACATTTTACAGTTAATTTCGAGCCTTATTGGGGGCACCGTCGAGACCAAACAAACTTCACAATCACTGTTGGAAAGACAGCAAGACTGTACTATATCTCAAATAAAACATGGAAATATAAATTTAGCCTAGAGCTAAAAAAAAACATCCTAGTCCTTCTGGCAAGGGCCTTTCCTACCCAAAGGGACCCTAGCAGGGACGGCCCGGCGATCAATCCAGAAGGAGACCCAGGACAGCATGACCATGAGGGTGGCTGGGAAGTAGGTCTGGAGCAAGAAGAAGAAGATGTGGCGTCGCAGGGTGAAGTGAATGTAGAGACGGTTGTACCAGCCTGAGAATAAAAAAGAAACACAGCTGATATTCTACACAGATCCAGTCCTTATCACCTGTTTCCATTCCCATAGTGCAGGGGTCTGAAACTCACGACTAGCGGGCCAAATGCGGCCAGCAAGGCGATTTAATGTGGCCCACGGTTGTGTTAGTAAATACGCCAATGGCCTATAATGTGTAATTGTAATGTCTACGTAATATCTACTCAATCTGTGACTTCAGGGTTACCTGTACTGCTATAGAAGGCCAGCTTTGTAGTGGTGTGAAACTTCTGGATGAGGAACTGGGATAAAGATATCCTCTCGTCCGTGTTCAGTGACTCGTTGCCTTTCTTCCAGTACAGCATGAGATCATCGTCCGTGTATGCATCTGATGAGAGAATGTTCAAAAAACCCAATGAATACCTCATACAAATATGATCGATTATCTTTGAACATGTGATAAAAACATAAATCAAATGTCATCAGAGATGTGTAGGTAAATGGTGAAGTTGATAGATGCACTCACAGCTCTCTATCTCCAGGGAGCAGGTCTGTGTGTCCAGAGGGAAGCGACTCAGGTCCATGTTGCACATGGCCGTGACTGTGACTCTGTGAGAACAAAAGTGACATCAGAGCCTGACTTATGCCTGACCAGAATTTAATATGGATACAAAGTGATGATTATATTGTGAAACACTTAGATTTCTTTTTGGCTTTTATGCTGAACTGTAGCTGAAATGGATCAGTATGACTATTATGAGCTCACTTGAATGGGGTATGAAACAAATTAAAGGCCAGGTGCAGAAGTTTTTATCTCAATATCAAATCATTTCTGGGTAACAAGTAAGTACCTTACTGTAATAGTTTTCCATAATAATGGTCCAAAAGAAACAAAATTGCTTTTGAGCAAAAAACTATTTCTGAAGCAATAATTTTGCTATGACTTTCTGAGAGTGGTCTGAGCGGAGCGGGAATGTGCACCAAAGCAGTGCATTAACCACAGTTAGGATTGTGGTGCGGGGATCAACCCACCAGAGCGGAGGGGCCTAATGGGAGTGATATGTAACCTGAAAACTAGCTGTTATTGGCAGAGAAGTTGGGGGGGGGGGGGGGGGGGGGGGGGGTAGCAGGAGTTTGGGAAACTCTGCCCTAATGGACACGGCCCAGTTCTCATCATTCTAACACTGGAAATCCACCGATGAAACAACTGAGCCCCATTCATTTTCAATGAAGGAAATCGAAGTTGGTGGGAGACCGTTGGGCGACACATGAATGCTTCAGCTTTATAACCCCTGTGACGTGTTTGGGTTTCCCCTTCTGTCTGTGGTAACACTGCAGCTTCACTATACGCGTTGCGTTGCTTTGCCATTAGCGTCAATGTGACGTTCTACCTGTTACACAAAGCCGTTTTCTCACCACCAAATATGGTAGTGAGAGGAAGTCCAGTCGTGGGCAGTGGGAGAGGATGGAAGTAGATCAAACTGGGCTGACATTTAGCAAATTTTCTCATCGATGAAACATCTGATCTCAATACATTTTTATTTTTCCAAAACCAGAATATGTTACGAACCCAGTGCACTAAGTTTTATAGACTTGACGTTTTGCCAAAGTTTTCAAAAATGGCGTTGTTTAGAAGGAGTGCAAGGCCGAATTGAGTTTGTGCACACGCACACTTCACAGAGGAGGTGTTCCCTATCGGAAATATACACATTTTTATAAGCTTTTATTTGTTTAGGGTAGCCCAATTGAGACCAGGGTCTTATTCCCAATGGTGCCCTGAGTACAAACATTTTCTCACAACAGGAAGAACAATTTACATTACAATTAAAACAAGAAGAATAAAAATAACCACAAGGCTCAACACCACAATTTTAACACATAAACCACTACAATCAGGTCTATAAATAAGGCAGCACGATGATTTTTATGATCCAAGCAATTTAACACATCATCTAAATAACATTTTTTTTAAATAAAAAAATTAACTGCAATACTCAATTAATTAATTCAACACCGGAGTCCCAAACTGCCTTAGCGGCACCAAGGAATCAAGATGCACAAAATTTTGTAGGTTATTCCAACAATGGAGGGTACTAAAACTAATGGAGGAATTACCTAAATTGGTCGAGACCAGAGGGACCTCAACAGTTAATCAATCCTGCGAGCAGAATTGGTTGCTCATTCTTTTATACGTTAGCAACGAAGTTAGGTAAGTTGTAAGCTTGTGTAGTAGAGCTTTGTAAACAAAAAGGGAGTAATGAATTGATCTACGGGACTTTAATGAGGACCAGCCAACCTTTTGATACAGAATGCAGTGGTGAGTATTCAAACTGTCACCAGTGATAAAACGAATGGCGCTATGTTAGACGGCATCCAAAGGTTTAGGAGTAGTGGCTGCTACAATCTGGTAAATGGTGTGCCCATAATCAAGAATTGGCAAGAAAGTTGACTGTACAATCTGCTTCCTGCTACTTAGGGAGAAGCAAAATCTATTTCTAAAAAAGAAGCCCACTTTAAATCTTAGATTTCTAACTAGTTCATCCGTATGTTTTTTAAACATTAAGTCTTTGTCAATCCAAATGCCCAGATATGTGTAGGAGGGAACCTGATCAATGGGAGAACCATCCAATGAATAAATATGTAGTCCATCTGAAAATTATTGCGAGACCTAGAGTGTGATGAGGTGATTTTGAAGGAGTCAGGCGCAGGAGGGTAAATCACAGAATAACAGGATTTATTCTGAACCACAGAGTTACGCAGTAATGCGCAAAACAGCCGCACTGGAAAATACACGGCGCACAGGTAATATTCCCGGGGATACAAAATACACCGAGCTTCTCTCTCCTCCACAATAAACAATCACACACAAAGACAAGGGGGCAGAGGGAACACTTATACAGGTACTGATGAGGGGATATGAACCAGGTGTGTGTAATAAACAAGACAAAACAAATGGAATGATGAGATGAGGAGCGGCAGTGGCTAGATGGCCGATGACGACGAACGCCGAAGCCTGCCCGAACAAGGAGAGGAGGCAGCCTCGGAGGAAGTCGTGACATAGAGAAAACATGTATTTAGTTTTGCCTGCATTAACAACAAGTTTTAAACCAACCAGTGCTTTCTGTAAGGTAACAAGGTCAGATTGCAGCTCTAACATAGCCTGGTCAATAGTTGGGGCAATGGCATATATAACAGTGTCGTCTGCATACAGATTAATATTACAAGTTTTAACAGATAGACCAATATTATTTATATCAATAGTAAAGAGAACAGGTCCCAGTACTGACCCCTGCGGTACACTTTTTGTGATATCCAGGAAACTAGACTTAACACCATCAAAGATAATTTACATTACATTTTAGTCATTTAGCAGACGCTCTTATCCAGAGCGACTTACAGTTAGTGAGTGCATACATTTTTCATACTGGCCCCCCGTGGGAAACGAACCCACAACCCTGGCATTGCAAGCGCCATGCTCTACCAACTGAGCTACAGGAGATCAGACATTGAGTCCTGTCTGACAGATAATTTTCAAACCACTTGCAAGAAGCATGATCCAGGCCTATTTCAGTCAACCTTTTAATGAGAATGTGATGGTCAACGGTATCGAAGGCCTTGGAAAGGTCTATAAATAAGGCAGCACGATGATTTTTATGATCCAAGCAATTTAACACATCATCTAAAACAAGCGTAGCCGCTGAAATTGTGCTATGTCCAGGTCTAAAACCGGATTTGTGCACATTAAGAATAGAGTGAGAAGTAAAAAAAGTTATTAGGGGAAAGTTAGTCAGGGATTCTAAAACTTTGGAAAGGCAAGATCATTTGGAAATTGGACCGTAATTATCTAAGTCTGGATCTCCTCCTTTATGTAGGGGGAGGACATGCTCCACTTTCCAGATCTTAGGGATAACGCCAGAAATAATAGTCAAGTAAAAAATATAGGTCAGTGGTTCTGCAATAAGTGGTGCGTAGAGCAACAGTAAAAATACATGCTACAACACACCAAAAGGATCTCGCTAGCTCGTGCTTGGCTTTGCCCAACTCCTTGCTCGTTCTGCTCACTATGCTTTATTTGCACCCACTGTAAAAGTTGTAAATAGCGTGTTGTCATTTCTCATTATTTCAATTCACAAGAAAGAATGAACATGCGAGAATTGAACCTCTGTGATTCTTAAGCTTGGATGCTGCCATTGGACGTGACGCAACGCGTGTGCAACACGGGCAGTACAGCAGCTTTGATTGATTTCAAAGGAAGCATTTCCTCAATGGCTGATGGCTCATGGCACTGCTGTACGCCCGATGGCTATAGCGTAGCAGGGCCATAACACAGTGGAGCTGAGCAGCTACCTCAGACTGTAGAGCACGTTGCCGTCAGGGTACACCCTCAGCATGACGTTGTCCGTGGTGGTGTCATGGATGAAGGACCTCTTGGAGTGGACGAAGAACATGTCAGGAACCCAGATCTTCTTGGCCAGCCTGCTGTCAAAGGTCATGCTCTGGTTGTTGGTACTGGGGAAGGACAGGCGCTCGTCCTTCCAGTAATGCCTCAGGTACAGGGTCATGGTGAAGTCCTGAAACAACACAGCAGGTTGGTGGGGGTGGGGTGGTAGTGGGGGTGGTGGTGGGGATGGGGGTGTTGGTGGTTGTGGGAGTGGTGGTGGTGGTGGTGGTGGTGGTGGTGGTGGTGGTGGTGGTGGGGGTGGTGGTTGTGGTGGGGGTGGTGGTGGGAGTGGTGGTGGTGGTGGTGGGGATGGGGGTGGTGGTGGTTGTGGGAGTGGTGGTGGGGTGCTGGTGGTGGTGGGGGTGGGGATGGGGGTTATAGATGGGTGTTATAGTTTGGGGAAAATATTTACCCTGGTCAAGCAGACTGACGGCTCTGCTCATGTTTAGTTTCACTTCACTTCAAGTGAAACAGAATGTGAGCTATTGCGCGATCAGGCCTGTTCCACCAGGCTAGGAAAGATGACCCTTCACCATGTAAAGAGACTCAAATCCCACTCACCATATCCACTTCAGAGATTGTGTCCAGACTTTCAACCTGAACATCTACCCCAACTGGAATAGGGGGTCCTGTAATTAAATAAAATTGCATTGATAGTAAGTTCAGTGAGAGAGTAGATTTTCAGAATTAATTGACTATCCTGGACCTCTGTTCAAAAACCTATTTAAAAAATGTGCACTACAGTTTATCCTTCATTTCCTTCATGCATTGCTATAATGGATAATCATTGATTCTAACACAGAGAACGTCATGTGTCATGTATTGTGACTATGCTGTGTCTATACAGTATACAGTATTTTCATTCACAGTCAGTGGAAGCCTAATGCAAAAATACACTACAATAAATACAGCGCTGCATTGTCAGCGAATGAGCTAAAATTTGCTTGTTTACATTTTACATTTACGTTATTTAGCAGACGCTCTTATCCAGAGCGACTTACAGTTAGTGCATACATTATATAATTTTTTATTTTCATACCCCATGGGAATCGAACCCACAACCCTGGCGTTGCAAACACCATGCTCTACCAACTGAGCTACCTCCCTGCCGGCCATTCCCGCTTGTGCCATGACGGGCTGGATTCTATTTTTGAACAGTTTGAACTTTTACTCTCCATCATCTGCCTTAGTACAGGAATACAGTTAGGTCACAATGGATCACAATTGTTGCAGCCTCAAACATCTGGATGCTTTTCAGATCTGTCTTTTATAGATCAATTTTCTTTCTCTTCCAGACAGAGTTTGGGAGTCGGCGTGGCAATAGGAGACATTTTAAAGGAGGACAGAGGGGTCATTCATAGTGTGATGTTTTTATCACTCAGATTGCACTTACAGCTGTTTATTTTTATGTATTCATAAAACATAAAACAAGACATTTTGGCCATTGTTCTGGCATGAATATGACATTCATTCTACAGCAACGCACATGTTGCTTGATCCATGGGCTTGCCTGGGTGCTCTGAAACACATTTTGTAATTTGGCCTCAAACATTATTGTATCTCTATGTTTGAACTAAGAAGGTCGTCCTAAAGGTATTATGGATTCCCAACATATAAATAACTAAAAAATAACATGAGAACACTGAGCACACACTGGTTGAATCAACATTGTTTCAACGTAATTTGTCAACGTATTGTGACGTGGAATCAACGTGGAAAATACATTGGATTTGAAAAAAGTCATCAACCAGTACTGATTTAATCTAATTTCAACCAGCATTGTAGACATTGAAATTAGGGTAGAACTTTTACTTAAATACATTGACTTAACCTGACTTACAGGTTGTTACATCAATCTAATTTCAACATAGTCATCAGAACTATGTATATGTAGAAACGTTTGTCACGAATATAGCCGAGGCTGCCCCTCCTCCTTGCTCGGGCAGGCTCCGGTGTTCGTCGTCACCGGAGTACTAGCTGCCACTGATCGATGTTTCTGTGTTACACTAGTCTTGTCTTTATTATTCACACCTGTTACCCATTATGCTTATTTGTTTCCCTATAATTACCTCTGTTTTCCCTCCTGGGTTTGTGCGTGATTGTCTGTTGTTTTACGTCGTTTGGGGAGCTGTTGTTCTGCTCTTCCCTGCGTGGAGGGTTTGTTATGGTTTACTTTTGTTTTAGTAAATCCATTCATTTCTCAGTTCTGTGTCCTGCGCCTGATTCCGTTTCACCACTTCACCCAGACGTTGACAACGTTTAAAAAAACATATTTTTATATCCTGTTTTAATATACTGTATATAGAAATTATTTTGAATTTCATATTTGATTAGACTGTATGTTATTTGACCTTGTTTCAATGTTGATAGTAAAATGATATGTTTGAATCAACGTCATTGTTTCAACGTCATGCCATCAACCTAAATAAAGATGTATATTGAAATAAAATGTCAAAGCCACAGTCCAACACTTCCTGCCTGAACAGTGACAATTCAATATCCAGTTTGACTACAAATTAATGATTAATATGTTGGATTCACATCTCCATATCAACCAAAAATCTAAGTTAAAGAATAACACTATATCAAATCAAACTTTAAATGCCCTTCAAATAAAGTTTGATTTGATTTAGTCCTATTCTTCAACAGATTTTTGTAGATTAAATGTGAAATCAGCCAACCATCCTTCATATACAAGACAATATCCAAAGGTAAACATTTTCTATTCATATCATGAATGCATCCTATTTACAGGGCTAATGGTGACTACTTCTAAACTTCCAAAGATCCAATCAACCATGGATGAATGATAGTATACCTAGCTACACGTTGAAATGATGGTGTCCTTTGTTGGGCAAAACAGATATCAATGTAGCCTACATAAAACCAACCTCACTCCAAATGTACTTTCACATACAGCATGTGAAGTAACAAAAGTTAGAGGAGTTACTTTCAACTATTCAATGTGATTTACGTGAATGAGTATGGAAGCTGATCAATGTCTAAATGTGTTGCCATGATAGCTCAGCTGAAATGTACACAGCTTGTTTCCAAAGCTAAGCAGGGCACATAGAGGTAGGTATCTGGATGGTGATTTGTTCTCACTGAAGTGCATTACCCCTCATATACCAGTAGGAGTCACTGTTCAGGCGGTAATTGTGGCTTCACATTTTATTTCAATATACCTCTTTATTTAGATTGATAGCATTGTGTTGAAACAATTAAGTTGATTCAAACATATCATTTTACTATCAACATTGAAACAAGGTAAAATAATGTCTAATCGAATATAAAATGTTAAATAATTTCAACCACGCAATATACATTGAGTATACCAAACATTAGGAATACCGTCCTAATATTGAGTTCCACCCTACAGTTGTGTCAAGTTGACTGGATGTCCTTTGGGTGGTGGACCATTCTTGATACACAAGGGAAACTGTTGAGCATGAAAACCCCAGCAGCGTTGCAGTTCTTGACACAACTACACAACTGGCAACTACTACCATACCCCATTCGAAGGCACTTACATTTTTTGTTTTGCCCATTCACCCTATGAATGGCACACATACACAATGCATGTCTCTATTGTCTCAAGGCTTAAAAATCCTTCTTTAACCTGTCTCCTCCCCTTCATCTACACTGATTGAAGTGGATTTAACAAGTAATGGCAATAAGGGATCATAGCTTTCACCTGGATTCAACTGGTCAGTCTATGTCATGGAAAGAGCAGGTGTTATTAATGTTTTGTATACTCAGTGTATAGGATGAAACGATTTTGAACGTTTCCATGTAAAATTTCAATGTATGCCTAGATCCAATTATTATGTTGAAATTACAGAAGATTGATGTAACAACCTGTTAGTCAGGTTAAGTCAATGTATTTAAGTTGAAGTTTTACCCTAATTTCAATGTTTAAAACGCTGGTTGAAATTATATGAAAACAGTACTGATTGATGACTTTTTAAAAAATCCAATGTATTTTCCATGCTCCAATGTATTTTCCATGCTGATTCCACATCAAAATATGTTGACAAATTATGTTGAAACAACTTTGATTCAACCAGTGTGCGCCCAGTGGGATATGTCCTATAATCCCACAACAGCAAATCCCTGTACGTTGACCATGAAACCTGTCAACATCCTTGTTAAAAGAAAGAGTACAGATCTGAATTTGAGACAGTTTGCTACAGCTGGAAAATAGTCCTGCAGCAACAGAAAATGTGAATTATTATGTGGATTATAATTTATGGGGGGAAAATGGTAGGGATTCGTACATTTTTTATTAGGGCAAATCAAGTCTGACATTTTAAAGTGGAAATAACAAACTTTAGAAGCATTTTTCAACCTTGAATACACTATAAATTTGCATTTCCTGCTGTGCAATTAAGACCCTACGTCTGTATTAGCATGACAATATACAGCTTGTCATGTTGTTTGTGTCTTTAGGGCAGGAGGGCTGAGCTGATAAGACCATTGGATAGATTGGCTGACCCCATTTAAAGGGGAAAAATAGTTGGCGTTGGTGCTCTAAGCAACATCAAAACAGCAAACACAACTAAAGGGAGTGAATAAACCATTTGTGCATTACCATCAAAGTAATCACTGTTGATGCAGGGTACGTACATTGATGAATTGGTCCTCTGTAGCTCAGCTGGTAGAGCACGGCGCTTGTAACGCCAAGGTAGTGGGTTCGATCCCCGGGACCACCCATACACAAAAATTGTATGCACGCATGACTGTAAGTCGCTTTGGATAAAAGCGTCTGCTAAATGGCATATTATTATTATTATATGAAGTGTATGTATAAAGCTTATGTGGAGCATGTTTTTCACAAACTAAACCTGATGATTTCACTAGGTAAAAATGTACACATTATATGACTCCTGTAAAGTCTTACCTCCAAATGCTGGTCTCATGGTAAAGTCATGGTCATCTATTCTTAAGAGCTGCTCAGATTTTGTCATGGGAGATTTTGTCATGTCTGGACTTCGTTTTAGAATCGGGCTGTAGTGAGGAAAAGAGGTTGTCTTTTTAGGGTTAGGCTATGCGATGAGGATCTATTTTTCCAATGGGCAAAGAGATGCTGTACACTGTCAAGTATTGTATAATTTCACAATA